CGTGAAACCTGGCACTAAGTAGTTCGTCAAACAACGCATCGGCGTGGTTACACAGACACACACACACACAGACACACACACACACACACACACATACACAACACACACACAAACACACACACACACACATACATATATATGTATATATATCTATATATATATATATATATATATATATATATATATATATATATATATATATATATATATATTTATTTATTTATTTATACATACAATACATATACATATACAACTTACATTTATATTAGAAATATGTAGATGGAAGGATGTATATCAATTGATAGTAATATACGAGTGTGTGTATATATGTGTGTATGTATGTATGTAAATACAAATGTAATTATATGTATATATTTAGATATAGATATATACATATGTGTGTACATATGTGTTTTTATGTATATATTTATATTTATGTGTCTATGTTATATATGTATATATATTTATGTATGTGTATATATATATATATATATATATATATATATATATATATATATATATATATATATATATATATATATATATACATGTATATATGCATATACATGGTGGGCTTTGGTCGAGTGCCCCCTGATATGCGCTTCTATTGGGCGAAAAGAGGATAGGAGGGAAACAGAAAATGGTAAAAGAAGGAGGGGAGGCCGGAGGAGACAAAAGAAAGAGGCAGAAACCAGAGTCATAGGAAAGGGGAGGGAAGAGAATACAGAGCTGGAAATGAAAAAAAAGGAAAGTCGAGGCTTGAGGCGAGGGGAACCGGAATCGCTCGTGTGGCCGGATATTGGCGCGTGAAAGGGTCGGAACCTCACGCCCGAGGCTGTCGGCTGTACTCGGAGGCTGTCGGTTGTACTCGGAGGCTGTCGGCGGTGCTTGGAGACTGTCGGCGGTGCTTGGAGACTGTCGGCGGTGCTCGGAGGCTGTCGGCGGTGCTTGGAGGCTGTCGGCGGTGCTCGGAGGCTGTCGGCGGTGCTCGGAGGCTGTCGGCGGTGCTTGGAGGCTGTCGGCGGTGCTCGGAGGCTGTCGGCGGTGCTCGGAGGCTGTCGGCGGTGCTTGGAGGCTGTCGGCGGTGCTCGGAGGCTGTCGGCGGTGCTCGGAAGCTGTCGGGGGTGCTCGGAGGCTGTCGGCGATGCTTGGAGACTGTCGGCGGTGCTTGGAGGCTGTCGGCGGTGCTCGGAGGCTGTCGGCGGTGCTCGGAGGCTGTCGGCGGTGCTCGGAGGCTGTCGGCGGTGCTTGGAGGCTGTCGGCGGTGCTTGGAGGCTGTCGGCGGTGCTCGGAGGCTGTCGGCGGTGCTTGGAGGCTGTCGGCGGTGCTCGGAAGCTGTCGGCGGTGCTCGGAGGCTGTCGGCGGTGCTTGGAGACTGTCGGATGTACTCGGAGGCTGTCGGCGGTGCTCGGAGGCTGTCGGCGGTGCTCGGAGGCTGTCGGCAGTGCTCGGAGGCTGTCGGCGGTGCTCGGAAGCTGTCGGCTGTGCTCGGAGGCTGTCGGCGATGCTTGGAGGCTGTCGGCGGTGCTCGGAGACTGTCGGCGGTGCTTGGAGGCTGTCGGCGGTGCTTGGAGGCTGTCGGCGGTGCTTGGAGGCTGTCGGCGGTGCTTGGAGGCTGTCGGCTGTGCTTGGAGACTGTCGGCGGTGCTCGGAGGCTGTCGGCTGTGCTTGGAGACTGTCGGCGGTGCTCGGAGGCTGTCGGCGGTGCTTGGAGGCTGTCGGCGGTGCTTGGAGACTGTCGGCGGTGCTCGGAGGCTGTTGGCGGTGCTCGGAGGCTGTCGGCTGTACTTGGAGACTGTCGGCGGTACTCGGAGGCTGTCGGCTGTGCTCAAAAGCTGTGCTCGGAGACTGTCGGCGGTGCTCGGAGGCTGTCGGCTGTGCTTGGAGGCTGTCGGCAGTGCTCGGAGGCTATCGCGTGGTCCTAGGCCTGGTCTTCTTGCTTTCTTCTCTTTTTTGTTCGTCTTTCTTAGTTCTTCCTTTCTTCACCTCGCCTTCTTGTCTCCATCTCCTTCCGTATATCTCATTCTTTTTTTTCTGCTATTTCTCTTTCCTTTTTGTTTCCGCTTCTCCCCATTAATTCCCCATGTATTCAGACCTCCTTTCATCAGCCTTCCGCTGAAATGCTCATTCAGACGCTTTTTATTTTATCTCTTGAGTGCTTCCCCTTTACCGACCAACACCTCCTCCCTTTTTATCGACTGTTATCGGGTTTATCTGCCTCGCCTGCTGAGAGACCTCTCAAGAATCGCTCCAGGTGATTTCAGGTGCCTTTGCCCTTATCGTCTTGTGGCGGCACATCTGAAGAGAGGGGCAGCGCGGGGGAAAGTGATAGGGCGAGGGAGGGAGAGGAGGAGGAAGGAGAGAAGGAGAGGGAGTGAGAGAAGAGGAAAGGAGAGAAGGAGAGGGAGGGAGAGAAGGAGAGGGAGTAAGAGAAGGAGAGAGAAGGAGAGGGTGTGAGAGAAGAGGAAAGGAGAGAAGGAGAGGGAGTAAGAGAAGGAGCGAGAAGGAGAGGGAAGGATGAAAGGATGAGTGGATGAAGGAAGGGGGAGGGGGAGGGGGAGGGGGAGGAGAAGAAGAGGGAGAGAGAGAGAGAGAGAGAGAAAGTGAGAGTCCGCAGGAAGCACTTGGACGTGGGTCCTCCGCTTGCTTGCGATAAGACGATGGAGATAAGATCGGGCGTGCTTGGGGCGGTGATGTTGCACATTGCTGTTGTTGTTGGGTGGCGTGGGTCGGAGGGCGATGGGGCAGGGGCAAGTTTAGTGGAATTTACTATGACGTTTAATAGTAGCGATTAGGCATATAATTATGACAACAACAACAATGAAACCAATAATAATGATGATCATAAAAACAACAGCAACAACAAGTATGTCGATAATGGTAGTGCTAGTACTGGTAATGATAGTATAAGTAGTGATACTGATAAAGATGATAATAGTTATAATTTATTAATAATGATAGTCAACATGATAATGACTATGATCAGAGATAACGATGATAGAAGTAATGATAAAAATGATAACAATGACATAATGAAAGTAATAAAACAACGACCGAGCCATTACAAAATTAACAGTAAACAACCTGTCTCCAATTACCGTGGGGAGAGGTGTGGGGGAGGGGAGGGGGGAGGGTAAGTGGCGGCTACCTGAAACTTGTTAGGTGTGTCCTCTTGTTCTATTTATTTATTTTCTCTGAACAACTGTGAGCTGTCTGAATTCATTACTTGGGAAAATGTTATTAGCTGGTTCATTGCAATTTCCAGATGGATGCAGTTTCTTCACAAAATATGCTTAATGTAGAATTATCTACGTGTGGCCGAATATATATATATATATATATATATATATATATATATATATATATATATATATATATAGAGAGAGAGAGAGAGAGAGAGAGAGAGAGAGAGAGAGAGAGAGAGGGAGAGAGAGAGAGAGAGAGAGAGAGAGAGAGAGAGAGAGAGAGAGAGAGAGAGAGAGAGACAGAGAATAATTGCATAAGTCGGTATTATCCCATACACAAAAGAAGATAAATGACAAAAAACATTTTTTCTTTCACAGGTAAGGCCAGTCGTGTCCATGGCGACGAAGTACCCGCTGACCGAGAGAATATAAGATTACTGTAAGTGGATTTTCATTTTTTCCGTTTTATTGCGTTACGAGGTCTAGGTCTTTCGTGGATTCTAACAAAATTCTGGAAGCTTTTGGATGAATTTGTTTCACAAAAATGTTGATTATTTAAAAAAATTCCTCTTGTAGTAGTTAACATATTATTTGACATTATTTTTTGGTATTTTATTGTTAGTTTGTGTGTGTTGGGGGGCAGTTTCATCTCCGTCGTGTGCGGCTTTTTCTTTCATGTTTGTTTTCATAAATCACTTTTTAACTCTTAAAAACATGTACGGTACATGTATGTATCAAAAAGGATTTTTATAAACGTATTTCTACTGTGCACACACACATACACATACGTACACGCATGCGTTCATGAACATACATATGCATATACATTCGCATACACAACACATACACACAAAAAAAATATGCATGCATGTATATATGTATTTTTTCTCAACCAAATAGCCCCACAGCTTCCCTTTGGGTGGAGACAGCAATGAACTTTTACAGAGGAAAACAAATATTAGTCTCGCACTCCACACGGCTCCTCATCAAAGCTCCCGACTCTGCTCGTGTAGCCGCCTACCGCTGACATCCACGCCCTACTCAAAACCCCGCCCACCCAGGTCTCGGAACACCGCCCACCAACGCCAGCCACACCTCCCCCACCCCTGCCTGCCTACCTCCCCAACGCCTCTCCCCCTCCCGCGAGCCCCTCCCCTCCCTCCACCCCCGCCCTCATCTTCGTAATGCTTGTTGGCGCGCGCCCAACCGATGATGTTCTCCAGTCCAGGAATTTATCTGGGCGACCTCGATTCCTGCCGAGTCCTGCCCTCTTCCTCCTTCTCCATCTCTGCTTCCCCTTTTTGTATTAAGCAATCATATTGTTTTGTTTCGCACCGGCGACAAAACAGCCAGACGACCTCTTTGCTGGTTTCCTCCGCTTATGGAAATCGGTCGCTTGGATGTCACCTTGACTAAATATATGCGCGCGCGCGCACAAATTGCGTGGTGGGGAGAGAGGAGAGCGCGGGCGTGCCTGGGCTCCATTCATCGCGTTCTTCTGCCTGGCCAGTGCGCCTGAATCTTCCCGGTGACACGAGTGGGAACGTTGGCAACACTGGCTCGACCTGGTCACCGTCGCTGTAACAACAGCATCACCATCGCTCTAATCCTGTTGGTGTCAGTACGACTTCGCTGACGATAGCTAACGGACTTCACCATTTTTGTCACGACCTTGTGTTGGACATTTTCGTAGTGATGATTTTCGATACTGTTTTTGCTTTCGGCGCTCGGAAAGCTGTTGCGTGTTGCTGTTCCTGGCCTTGTTGCTGTTGTTGGTTGTCTGTCCTTGTCGTTTTTCTTTGTGATGTATTTCAT